AGTTTCAATAAGACAAAAAGATTATCCAGGTGATACTTTATATATAAAAATATAAAAGCATCAAGTAATAATAACAATAATATTAACAATGAAGCAATCGGTATCCCGGTAATCCTTTTAGCAAATAAACCTATACATGTACAAATAACCCAACAATATGAATATCACATAAATAATCCACTGGTAAATACACTGGGACGGAGTATAAAACAAGCCATCAGTTAAGCTGATGTCCCCCGCCGAAATCCCAAAATAAATAGATGACACATATTAATTAATCGCACATTTATTTTTTTCAAAAGTATCAAGCAATCAAACTATACACTAAGTTTCATCACTCTCTATGATATAGAACCAAGATTATTTTGTCCCAGAGCATTGCCCAATAAAATTGATAGTTCTGCTTAGCTTCAGCTCGAAATGTTAATCATTCAACTCAGTCAAGACATTCACCTTATGGACATCTACATTAAGTTTAAACATTCTACCTCAAATAAAAGCAGAGTTGTTATGTTCCAAAGTCTTGACCAATCAAATTGCTTATCGCTCCTAAGCCTAAGCAGAAAATCCTCACCAATCAGATTGCTTATCTCTTCTTACGGTAAGCAGACAATGTTCACCATAGAACTCCAACAAGGCATTCGCCTAATGAACGCATACACCAAGCTTGAACATTCTACCTCAATTAGAAGGAGAGTTATTGTTTTCCAAAGTCTCCACCAATCAAATTGCTTATTGCTCTGCTTACCTCCAGGAGAAAATAATAAAAAAAATGTTCATTATCGATCTTAGTCAAGGTATTGATATAATAAAGCTATACACCAAGTGTCCTCATTTTCACTAAATTAGAACTAAAGTTATCGCGTCCCAAAGCATCAAACAATCAAACTGCTTATCTCTGCTTAAGTGCGTTGTACGAAAGGCCAAGAAAATGGCTTGACCCACGAGACACGTTCGCGGCCACCAGCTGTATTCCAATAGACCATTCTTGTGGTGTTTTTCCGTTGAACCATGAGAGATTAAAGATATCAAGGAATAACGCCAGTGCTTTCTCGGGTAGATTTTTCAGCATTGTGTATTTCACACAGTCTAGCCCTTCTGCACTGTCGGAGTTAGTCCGTAATGCTTTTTTTCAACTCATCTATATTAATGGAACTATTTAGATCTGATTCATTATCTGCATCTTTGTGTATTATTGGAGATTGTTTTTTTAAGAATTTACTTTTAATGGCCTTGAATGTTTCATTGTGTTGGTTGTTACTATAGCCATCTGCATAGGTCTGCCCTAACAAGTTTGCTTTGTGCGTATTATTTGATGATGATGATGGGTTAGTTGTATTTTACGTCCGCTTCCACCGAGGTGATATCGCAGACAATGCGTATTATTTAAGGCTGTTTCGGTTTTATAGGTTAATAGAGGTATACTTTGTCTTACTTTTTTACCGGTGATTCCTGATATTTTGTTCCATACTGTTTTTATATTTGTTCGATCATTGAGGGAGTTACAGAAGTTTTGCCAGTTTTCTTCCTTGGCCTTTTTGATTTCTGTCTCTGCGGAAAGTTTAGCTTCAAGGTAGTCAGTTCTAGTTTCCTCATTCGGCCTACGTTTGTATTTTTGTAGCGCTGATTTTCGGATGTTGACTAGAGTTTGTAGATTATCTGACCACCAAGGTTTGGGGGATTTCCTGTTAGTTTCTTTTGTTCGGGGGATAGATTGCTCTGCTGAGCTTATTATAGCCTTAGTTAGATTATTTGAAAATGTGTCTATATTATCATGTCTTATTGACTCAAAATCCCACCCATTGCACAAGTTTTTATATAGTTCCCAGTTTGCCTTCTCCATTTTCCATTTAGCCTGACATTTGGTGTTTTCTGTTTTAGTATTGCAAGATACGGAGATATGGATTGCTACGTGGTCACTTCCTAAGGTTTCGTTACCTATTTCCCAGTTGCAATGGGGGTATAGTTTTGTTGATACTAATGCCAGATCTATGTGGGTTCCTTGTTTACTAGTTTTCCCGACGAAAGTTGGTTCGCTATTATTGTCCTTGAGTAATAGAAAACTGCTGTCTTCTATATACTCGTACAGTTCTTTCCCGTCTTTGTCGCTTGTTGGTGAGCCCCATGCCGTGTTGTAGCAGTTGAAGTCCCCACATATAATTAGATTGTCTCCCGGAATTTGTTTAAAAATCCTATCGTAATCTGTACTTTTTAATTTATTGACTGGGGGTTGTAAACGTTTGTTATGCTTAGAGATTGATTATTTCCTATAGCAATATTAATCGCCATAAACTCTAATTTATTTGTTTGGTTTACTGTTAATCTACTGAATGGGATATTATTTTTGACATAAATCGCAAGTCCGCCTCCGTTTGATTGGCCCGGTCGATCGCGCCTTACCATTGTGTAACTGTCTAGATTGATATCATTGTTTTTGGGAGTTAACCGTGTCTCTTGTAGGCATAGTATGTCTAGATTGTTTTGATAGACATATTGTTTGAGTTCGATCAAACGAGACCGCAGCCCATTCACATTGAGTTGAAAAATTGTGATTGGCTTCTCCATTGTAAATGATAATGATTTGTTTATTTAAGTTATTAGTGTGTTTACAGTGCATCTTCCTTACTGCTTACACTGCAAGTACGTTTGTTTTGATTAGGTATTTCGGTCTCAGTGATCATGGGATTATCCCCATGTCTGAGTGAATTGTCTTCATCTTCTGTAACAACTAAGTTTATGTTTCTTTTTGCCGACAGCCTTGAGTGGCTTCGGCTTCTACTGCGATCCTTAGTTTTAGTTTCGGAGGGTGGGGGCATGACAGTGTTTACTGGGGTCTTTTCTGCTTGAGAAGATTTTCCCTTATTTTGGGGGGTTTGGGTGATTGTGTTTACTGGGGTCTTCTCTGCTTGAGAAGATTTTCCCTTATTTTGGGGGGTTTGGGTGATTGTTATTGTCTTGGGTGTATTTATTACATTATTTAGTATGACTTTTCCTATTTCAATGTTTCTTTCCTCCTCATTTCTTATTGAACCTAGTTTTGCCAACTCTCTGCAGAAGCTGACGAACTCTTTTATTCCTTTAAATTGGGGCGCGAACGATTTATTTGAGTCAGTATTATTTAGTTTTTGGGGATCTTCCCTAATATTAGTAGCAGCAGAAAATGCTCATCATCGAACTTAAATAAAAATCGAAGTCATCGAGCTCCAGAGTCTCGGCCAATCAAATTACATCGTATTGATATAATGAAAGTATACGTTGAGTTTTATCATTCTCGCTTAATTAGAATCAAAGTTACCGTGTCCCAAAGCATCGACCAATCAAATTGCTTTGCCCATCTTTGAACTCCATCAAGGCATTCATATAATAATAACCTACACCAATTAGAAGGAGAGTTAATGTGTCCCAAAGGATCGACCAATCAAATTGATTATCTCTAAGGTATACTCATATGTGCACTCCATCAAGGCATTTACCTAATAAACACCTACACCCAAGTTTGAACAGTCTAGCTCAATAAGGAGATTTATTGTGTCCAAAAAATGTGGCGGACGGACAGATCCATTTTAATAGTGCCCTGCTTTCTTCGAAAGGCAGGGGACAGAAAACCTGAAGGGATAGAGCACTTACTCAAATGGCGGGGGACAAAAAACCTGAAGGGAAAGAGCTCTTACTCGAATGGTGACTGTATTGGTCTCTCATGAATTAAAATATTGTATGAGCCAATTGTTTGTGATCATTGCAACAAAACATTGCATTATTTATGGTCAGCGGCAAAAATAAATTATTGGTTTTCCACTGTATTGTAACAGGGTTGTGTTTTATGACTCTGTCAATTGATGTTGGTAATGAATGTCCTGGCCAGTGTCTTTGCTATTTGATGTTTTTAATTAGTGAGTTTATAGTTTTGGTTGTGAGCTAATATAAATTAGTGTAGATGGTTCTGGTGGTGGATTTTCTATTGTAAGGGTGGGGAATTATATTGTCCGGATTATGGTTTATTTTATTTTAGTGTTTGAAATGTCTTAGTTTATATGTGGGTTTAGTTTTAATATTTTTGGGTAGTTGAAAGGATAACTCGTTGGAGTCTTTCAGTTATGAAGGTTGTCTCTTTCTGAATATGTTTATCAGGAGATCTGAGATTCTTTGTCCTGGTTGGTTATTCGTAGGTGTAGCTGGGATAAAACTAAAAAACATGCATGCATCATTACCACATGTTACAGAATAGTGAAGGTCAACACCGGCTCTTTTCCACAAATGGGTAAGCTATTTAGTTTAACTTTCTTTTAAAAGATGACTGTGAAAGTGAACTGTGAGTTTCATGCGTGTTTGATATATGATTATATATATGTAATTTAAATACTGTAAGGTAAAATTGTAGGATGTATAACTAATAGAACTATTGGTTACAGATATATGGATAATGGCAACTGTTATATTTTCAGGGCCAACTTGCCAAACATAAATATATTTTGTGTTATAGTTATGTGTAATACCAACAGAAATGGCGTTTAATGGTCTAATGGTCATGGTTATGAGATACATGTAGATCAACCAGCATCGACTACGCTCTTTCGCGTTGTAATTTGTTTTAACTGTATCATGTGTCATTTGTGGACTATATAAACTTATTTAAAACCCTGTCTTGTGTTATCATTCAAAAAATCTATTTCCAAGAACTAAGCAGGTTTAATCTACCAACTTTACCACACCATTGCAGGTGATGGAAGGGGTAGGTCTGCAATAGTATTGTTTCCATCAGTACAGCCGTTGCTTTCTTGAATGCCTATTTTTTAAACTAGGACTCGACCAAAGCATTGACACGTATATGGTAATCACTGCCAGTAACGAAAACAACATTAGATACTATTTTTATATTTAATGTATTGTAACTGAAAACCTATGTACATTAAGTCCAGAAAATTTGAAGTTTCATTTCAAACTAGCACAATTTTCACCCCGAGTATAGTAAACAACCAAAATTATATTGTATGTAATTATAGTTAAAGAAATTAGAAGAGGAAGCTCGAGATGAAATGAGAATAGAGTTATATCATAAAAGAGACTGGGCTGTTAAAAGGCGTGAAATAAATCTAGAGAGAAGAGCCCATCATGATGTATTAGGATATGGACAAGGTTTAACTAGACCCTGGGTTTTTTCATATTTTGCATTATGTCCATCAGCTCCTTACAACAAGTAAGTTTTGTGAGGGAGTGAGGGAGAGAGAGAGAGAGTTTTGTGCGTTTGTGTGTGTGTGAGAGAGAGGGAGAGAGAGAGAGAGAGAGATTCACTCACACAAACTAAGTCATTTGGAGAATAACATATGATTCAAATTTATTTCAATAATTCACTTGCGCATAGGATTCTTTAGCAGTGGAAGAAAACTCAATGACCGACAGAAAAACCACAAGGTTTGACAGGTGACCCTTCTCCTTGTCACTACAAGCAGGGGATCAAAACCATATTACTTGACTGAATATCAGACCTTATGATCTAAAGTGCTGGTATTAAAACATTTGGGCACCCAACCTTCCAAAGTAAGTTATCATTTACAGGTATACTACATAAAGTCACTAATGTGAATGCCTTATACCGTCGGTACGTTTGTGTATCGCCTACTGTCATGAAACTTTGCATACTTACTGTTTATGGCCCCAGGATGATCACTATTGTATTTGGTCGACGTGTCCTAATTAGGTACGGAGTTATGGACCCTACTTTAAAAAGTTTTGTGGATCACCTGCAGACAGCAATTCTTGACCAATCTTCTCGAAATTAGCCTTTTTGGCATACTTAATTAATCAGTAAGAATGATCACCTTACCTTATTAGCGTCTGTTTTTATATGAAATGAAATGGGGTTTAACGTTTTACTTTTCTGCACAGACTAGGTCATTTCGGGATTAACACATGGTTCAATTTTACTTCAATAATTTGCTTGCGCGTAGGGATCTTTAGCAGTGGGAGGAAACCGGAAGACCTGGAGAAAACCCACGAGGTTGGACACTCCTTGTCACGTACACAACCGGGGAATCGAAACCACGTCAGTTGACTCAATGACAGATCTTATGATACAGTGCGGACGTGCTAACCATTCGATTATCCCCCTCCCCCGGGTCATGAGAGAATGGACCCAAATGATTTTTAGAGTTTTGCGCCTTTCCTTTCTGGAGGTATCCCCCTTTGCCTAAAACACTGTAAATGTAGTAGATGTTGTAGTTTTTTGTACGCCCGCATTAAAATGTGTTCGTATATTGTCATTGCCCGTCTCTCCATTGGTCCGGCGTCCAAAACTGCTTGTGAACGCTTTAGAGGCTAAAGTTAATATCCGATCGACTTTATTTATACAGTGTTTAAGGTCATCAGACGAAAAAGCCAATTGATTTTCAACAATTTCCAATAATTTCTGCCCTTGATCACTTGGAAAAATCTTGTGGATGCTTTAGAGACCATAGTTATCATCTGATTGATTTTATATTTATACACCATGTTGACGCCTGCGTAATAATAATCGTTTCGGTTGACTTTAGATTGATACACAGAGTAAGGTATTGATATGAACAAGTATATTTATTTTCAGTGATTTTTGTTAACTTGGACAGTTCAATCCATGATATTAAATGTTTTGTATACCAAACAAATTCTAATGATTTTCTGATAATTATTTAATGAGTTATTACTCTAATTAGATTTTAGTGTATTATAAATGTTTCATTACCGACGTATATGGGCGTATGTATCCTTGCCTGGCAACCTATCTTAATAGATGGTTTTCAACATTAGTGGAAAGTATTGGGGTCATGAGAGAATGCCCTGTCCATTTTCAGCTTTCCACAATTTTCCGTTCTGGAGTTATCACCCTTTTCCATAAACCTTGTCAGCGCGATAGAGGCTGTATTTTTTAATAGATCTTTCTTAAAATGTGTCAAACCATAACGATAATCAGCATTTTGCGACTTTCAATTCCAGAGTTGCCCCCCCCCCCCCCTTGTCATAAACCCTGTGAACGCGATAGAGGCTATAGCCTTTATAGTGTCTGACACCCAGAACCTCCTAGTCTTCAAGGTACGGGGGGTCTGGGTCAGTTGTCCACGTTTGACGAAAATTACTGGATAATCAACCAATAAAAAAACCCTCACGGTTATGCATGAGCAACAAACTTTTAAGCTAAAGCCAAGAAACAGTTGCACCCCTTTCCGAATTTAATCCCATAATCGTGCATTATTACAAACAAACATGAGTCGTGGCGGCGAATTAGGATTAATAAAAATTATAGATATGATCCTTGAGGAGAGAAATTTTACAATAAAATATTTAGGAGTGTTGGATACTGAACAGGCAATGGAAATAGATTTTTCTAAAATGGCAATTCTTAAACTAATTTCATGGGTATCGACATCTTGTTTTAGGACTATTTACCTCCCTTATTACGCTCTCTGACAGAAAAAAGTAGATTTTGTCCATGATAACGTAAATGGACACAGCTCACCAAATATTCCTACGCTGAAACAAGGGCCAAAGCTATTTTTAGTCTCTCCTTTTTCATTCCCCCCCCCCCCCTTGCATGGCGATTTGTGTTGACGTTTTGGTGTAGAATCGAAGAAAAGGGTTTGAAAATACATTTTCTGCCAGGTTTTGGTGAATATTCTTGATTTTGAGGCGGAAGGATACAAGAGTGAGAGATTGGTTAGGTTGAAATGTAGGGCCGAAAATTGCATGGTTACTTGTCTCTACTTCCAGCTTGTGTATCTCAATTTTTTCATGAAGATGCATTTGGGAAAGAGTTTGTCCCCTGTAGCTCCATCTGTGGTAGAAAGCATTTTACCCAACGAAAATTTGGGGAAAAGTTAGAGCCAGTCTAAGAGACGAGAATTAACATTAAAGTCAATGGGGAAATCATTAGCGATCTGTGGCCAAAAGACCAGATAATCTAGCCAATGACCTAGTTATTCTCAAATGTTGACAACCTATCCAGACTAATATTTGTAGATAGAGACTGCAGATTTTATTGTTTATGTTATAAATTGATGTGAAGCATTGTGGTCATGAGAGGATGAGCTGTATTGATATTCAGCGTTCCACTACTTTCAGTTCAGGAGTAATCAGATACCTTGTGAACACTATAGTTTTCAATAGATCTTTTTCAAATTTGGTGTTCCATGACTTTCTATTCCAGGGTTATTCCTCCTTATTCAACATTCTTGTGAATGCGACAGAGGCTATAGTTTTTAATGGATCTTTTGTGAAGTATTGAGGCATTCTGCAATCTCGCGTTCTTGCCAACTTTGCTGAAAAACATGTGAACATGATAGAGGCTACAGTGTTAATGGGTTTGGTTTCAAATTTGGTGAGAGGTATTGAGGTATTGAGGTCATGAGAGGACGAACCCTATCGATAGTCAGCGACCTGTGAATTAGACTTTTAACGGATTTATTTTAAATTTGGTGTGAAGCATTGTTCTATGTCCATCTCTTGCAAAATGTGGGCGTATCTTGCATGACAACCGCTTGTGATATAAAACGGTTCTGTAGGGGCCTTAGGTTAGTCCCAAAATGGCGTAGTTTGTTTATCTATGCCAATAAAGAGACAGTAGGCCTACATGTATTCTTAAAAAATAAACGTATCATGCATAAAAAGGCATCTGTTTTCATAGGTGCTCTAAAGAGGTGGTCAATAGCCACAGATTAGTTCATTGTTATATTCTGATTAACTTATGTATTAATATTAACATTTCAGAACAATAGAAAAGGATCCATTGTCAGGTAACGGATTTCAAGTGAATTTAAAGATGAAATCTAAAGAAGCAGCACACAATACGCTAATATCAAATATTGAATCTGAATTGCCGGTCATCATAGAAGGTGGATCTCAACTACACATATAGTTTGATCACTTCAATTAGAAGTGGATGATGTGATTGCGTTCATACTTTATTTCTGAAAAATAAAGCTACTAAATATGTAATTAAGATTTTCTAAATATTTATAAATGACTGTTGACAGATGGAAGCAGAAGTTTTAAAAATGATTTTCTGTTTCAAAAAATGGCAAATTCTGTTTTTATACACACACGTGAAAGTATCGTGATGTCTTCACTGTCTATCCATGTGTCCAGACGTCCAGTCACATTTGTTTATGGACCCTCCATATATCACAACTTTTATACGCCCACATTCTCATGTGGACATATATTGTCGTTGCCCTTGTCCGTCCATTCGTTCGTCCGTCCACAATTTGTTTGTGGACACTCAACAGCCAACAATTCTTATCCGATTTTTACGAAACTTGAAATATAGGTTTATCTCCAAAAGATCTCGGTCCCTTTCGATATTGGCATGTATCGGATCGAAACTTCGTGGATTATGGCCCCTGATTGTACGAAGAATCGCGTTTTTAGCTTTTGGACACGTCAGAGGTCACAATTTTTATCTAATTTTGATGAACCTTGAAATGCATGTTTATAACCCAAAGATTTTGGTTCCTGTCGACATTTGTGCATATCGGATCGTAACTTCCTGAATTATTGCCCCTGATTGTAGGTCAAATTTTTTTATCTGATTTAAAAAACGGTTCGAGTATATCAACGTTACACCGTAATGTCGGTTGAGTTCGAACTTCGTGAAAATCGGACCAAAACTGTCGGACAAAATGTAAATATATGATGGTATATCAAGGTTGTGGACCCTCTGTAAGCCACAATTTTGATCCGATTTGGATGAAACTTTAAAATTATGTTTATATCACACATATCTGGTTTCCCTTCGATAATCGCACATATCCGAACGTGACTTCTTGGATTATGGACCCTAGCTTTTGGATCTGTTAGAAGTCACAATTTAAATGTATCACGGTTACAAACTAATTTCGGTTGAGTTCGAATTTTCTGCCTGTCAAAATGTCCGCTCTTTGTAAGCAAAAAATAGTGTGAAAGTATGTAATACCAAGGTTGTGGACACAATATTTGATTTTAACGAAACATAAAATATTTTTTTATATTCAAAATATCTGCTAGAAGCCACAATTTGTATTCAATTTTTAAAAATGTTTAAATATATCCCCATTACACATCAACGAAGGTTGAGATCGAATTTCGTAAAAGTCTGGCTGCTCCTTGTGCAAATAGTGTAAAAGTATGTAATACCAAGGTTGTGGACACTCTAAAGGTCACAAAATTTATCCGATTTTGATGAACCTTGAGACGTATGATTAGACCAAAGATCTTGGTTCCTTAAGATATGTGCGCATATCGAACTGTAACTTCCTGGATTGCAGCCCATGATTGTACTAAAAGGCACGTTTTTAGCTTGTGGACCCTCTAGAGGTCACAATTTTTGTTCGATTTAAAAAAAAAACGTTTAAATGTATCACGGTTACAAACTAATTTCGGTTGAGTTCGAATTTCCTGCCTGTCAAAATGTCCGCTCTTTGTAAGCAAAAAATAGTGTGAAAGTATGTAATACCAAGGTTGTGGACACAATATTTGATTTTAACGAAACATAAAATATTTTTTTATATTCAAAATATCTGCTAGAAGTCACAATTTGTATTCAATTTTTAAAAATGTTTAAATATATCCCCATTACACACCAACGAAGGTTGAGATCGAATTTCGTAAAAGTCTGGCTGCTCCTTGTGCAAATAGTGTAAAAGTATGTAATACCAAGGTTGTGGACACTCTAAAGGTCACAAAATTTATCCGATTTTGATGAACCTTGAGACGTATGATTAGACCAAAGATCTTGGTTCCTTAAGATATGTGCGCATATCGAACTGTAACTTCCTGGATTGCAGCCCCTGATTGTACTAAAAGGCACGTTTTTAGCTTGTGGACCCTCTAGAGGTCACAATTTTTGTTCGATTTAAAAAAAGAACGTTTAAATGTATCACGGTTACAAACTAATTTCGGTTGAGTTCGAATTTCCTGCCTGTCAAAATGTCCGCTCTTTGTAAGCAAAAAATAGTGTGAAAGTATGTAATACCAAGGTTGTGGACACAATATTTGATTTTAACGAAACATAAAATATTTTTTTATATTCAAAATATCTTACTCCATTTCGATATTCGGGCATTTCAGACCATAACTTTCTAGATTAAGACCCTCCCCCCCCCCCTCGATTGTACGAAAAATCGCTTTCTTGTAGATTGTTCTCTCTACATATCTTGCAAAATGTGGGAGTATCTTACCTGGCAACCGCTGGTTATCCGATTTTGTGGAAACATAATTATGTTGATATCCGATAGATCTTGGCTTTAATTTTGGCAAATAGCGGACCATAACTTTTTGGATTATTACCCCTGATTTATACGGAAAATCGCGTTATTAGCTTGTGAATCCTCTACAGGTCAAAATTTTATCAGGCGGTAGCATCCTGAAATATTACCCCTTGTGGCCACTCTACAGTTCACTTCCTGCTAAAATGGCCCCTTCAACTTCTTGGGTTATGGCTCCAGTGTTTTACACAAAATATGAAATATGTACAGTTTGTGGACCTTCCACGGGCCACAATTGTTGTCCGATTCAGATAAACTTGATATGTAATATACTATAGAGTTTTTTTTAGTTCTATGAAAGGTGTCCTGTTTAATGTAGAAATGAGTTACCTACATGATGTGCGACGACAACTAGGCCAGTGAAGTACCTTGCATTATTCTACTACTTTCTTAGACTAACTCACCGACAGTTATGCCAGTATCCATTTCTGGATGGGGGTTACTATCTTCCAGGAAACTGGTGCACAGATTAGTCCAATTAAATAGAATAATGTTGACGCTAAACGGTTCCCGTATGAAACACTTTCCAGAAAAATGGTAATTGTCCCGCCCTAGGGGAACGTCATATCCTCAGCTGAGAGGCTGGGATAGAGACAAAATGTGATTTTTAAGCCGTTCAGTTTGAGTTATTAAGGATATTAAACTCAGACCACGGATATTTTGATAACTCCTAAAGTATCTATAATAGATGTTGTAGTTTCCCTGTATTTAACCTTTGTAGTTTGCTGTATTCGATATATAAACATAGTAACAACATAAACAGTGTTTCAGACTTATTTGATCATTGGAAATAGTTATCACAACGTGAAGTCAAAGAAAGTCCTAGACGATAGTCTCACAGTTTATCTCTTACTTGAAGTCCGTGACCAGGATAATCACATCTGTCCCCATAATGTCATAGTCGGGTTTGGGTTGTTTTTTGGGTACCGCGACTCAGGATAGTGTCACAGTCGTTTTATTTGCTGCTGTTGACGTAAGGATGTCGACCCTAGAGGAAAGCCTTGGAAGAAGACGTTTCCAGTACATATTTCCTGGTAAATTGACCACGGAAAGCTAAACAGGCCAAGGGGTAGGTTGAATGAAATTTTAGAGGTTAGGGATTTGCTAATATTAAAATATGAAGTTTAAAAAGAATGTTAAACTAGTAAAACAATCAAGTTACGAAAATAAGGAAAAAGTAAGGTTTAGGTTTAAACATATAGGTAATTTTCTATAAGCGTAGGGGAAAAATGAATAAGAAAACTAATGAAACTAAAGATTCCTAAAATTGAAACGGTAAAACTAAGGTAAAGGAAAAAAGTAATATCCCCGGTCTAAGGTGAGATCGTAATAATTTAATGTAGTGTTATGTTCAAGTAATGTATATGCACTGAAAAAACTCTTGTGTTGGATCTCAACACAAGGACTTGTGTTAAAAATATTCAACACAAATTTGTGTTCTTTTCCATTGCATTAACACAAGTTTGTGTTCTTTTCAATGCCTTAACACAAAACATGTGTAGATTTATAAAATCCTGTGTGGTTTTTTTTTCATATAATTAATTACGTTGAATTTTAAGATAACATTTATTATGTTACTTATTATCTGTAATAATATGATTTTTATTTATTGAGAAAATCTGAATGGGATTGGGGAACTGGATTAGGGATCTGGCTTAGCCTATTACATAAAACCACTCTAACTGAATTTGAATGTTGTGGAATTCACTTTATTTCTAATTATCTAAAACCTTATATTAATTATTACAAACATTATGTATAGTGCGATACGTTTAATATCTCTTTTAAAATAATGTATTTTATAACAGTATACTGATATAAAGAGATCGAAGTTTTGGTCAATTATTATCTAATTATAAACTATTTATTTAATTAGACATAATAAAAGATTATTCTGAATTTACTCTTTGTTTATTTTCACATCTTGTCTCGGACAATATACAGAGACAGGTTATTAGAATGTCTGCATTTGGAAGTGTCTGATTGATATTGCCCCAATAAACTTGACACGTCAAAAAAAATTGTCGTAGGGTGTGAAAGTTAGAACAATAGTGTTATATCTTGGTTTTAAAATATATCTGAACGGGCGTAGATATAGCCGAGTTAATGACCAATCAAAATGAATTACTCTAAAAAAAAAAGGAAGAAATATTTATTGCAGTATTTTGCGATATTAAACCCTATTGTACTAGTTAACTGTAGGCCTGTTCTCAAGCAATGTGGGATTTCCTCCCTGGATTAGTCCGGTGTTAGAACCAACTCCAAAAGTGATATTGTTGTGAAAATAGTATGTTCAGAAAACAAGAATATCAGGTTTGTGATTTTTTTGTATTTTTAATACAATGTATTTATAACGCAAATTTTTCGTTTCGGTTAAAACAAATTCTACGCCCATTTTAATTGACCGAAGGACGTGTGGCTAATATGGCGGGCGGACAAACTGATCAAATAGGAGCTTTTACGGGTTTCCATTTTGACGTCATTTTCGGTCATGCGCAGACATTGGCCTTATTCTTAGACTGAAACCCATAGGCCAGTGTGTGTTTTTTTGTGAAAATACCGTCGTACAGTAAGCTTCTTTTACATAAAATGGAACTGAATGCCATTTCTATATACGCGTAAGGTTTACCGACCGATGGCAGAAAGCGATACTTACAAAAACTTCGATATAGGAAAGATACGGCAAGTTTACCAGACCCGTAATTGGCCGTTTGTAATTGAAACAAGTGGATGACTGATCCGTGCTCAATGGCCCGAACTAAAATTAAGTGAAGTTTATTACGCATTTTACGATCAAACAGATGTTATATATTAATTACGGGACTATTAACACAAAAGATTTTTAAAAATGGTCTATCCTATTTACATTTAACTGCCGACTGGACAGTTCTTTGCGAGGTTGATATATCGTCTGCTATAGCACTGCATGCCACGACCCTACGTACTCGACACAAAACACGGTACTATGTTGGTCTTTGTTTGAGGATGTCGACTTGAAAATGATTCCAGCTAATAATACTATAAATAGTATGTAATATGCAAATAAGATTGTTTATGCGTGCGTGCTGTTAGCCAATAGCTATTGTAAATTTCCCCGCGTTTAGACGGCTCTTACCAATGATAAAATAGTTGTTTGGTGCACTGTGTAAAACTTCAGCCATTTTTATAAATTTTTATCTTGATTGATGGGATATGAATAACAGAAAGAATAAAACGACGATCAAGTTGAATCTGTGAATATTTTTTAAAACCGTTTTTTTTCTGTTAATTGTAGTCACATAAATCGTCTTGGCTCAGCTTTTGGCACTCAGTGAAATTTTAATCCAATCAGTTTATCTTGCCGCAACCAAGAAGAAGAACGATGCATTTGTGTCCATTTTATCAATTTCTAATTCAGTATTTGGTTCAGAGAACAACTGTTGAATGAAAATATGTAACTGGACTCGGTGCATTCTATACATCGTGATTATTATTTGTTCTCTTTTTTATTAGATGTGCTACGGTTGTGCTTAAATTTTAATATAGTCTTGAATAATTCTTTTGTGGAACCGCAGGTCACCATCTCTATTTACCCATTCTATAATTTACTCTTATGCTCTATTTCATGGCATTTTACAACCAAACAGATGTTATCTATTAATTGTTTGCAGTAAAATTAAAACAAAACATATAAATCGGCTTCATACAGCAATGTAATGCTTTTGCGTAATGCGGTCAACTGGGCCGTGTGCGAGCTTGACATATATCGTCTGCTACAACGCAGTATATCGTCATTAAAACAAAAAAATAATAACTTAGACATGATTTGAAATCGGTAATTTATTACGAATGCTACACGCAACTTAAAACAAGAGTGGCATTAAAGAATACGTTTTCTATAAAGAGAAAAAGGGAAAAAACCCGCTTTCCCTAGCATTTACCATGTTAAGATACGGATAGAAAAAGGCCAGGCTAAAAATAGACACCAGAAGTACGTCACGCGTAAAAGCTCCTATAGTATATTTCGAGTTATTTGAGGTAAGCTAATTCAAAATTATATCATAACCGCATTGTTTCTGTGTGATTAAATATTCAAAAAATCATTCCTAGAATACACCCTCGCCACCAGTCAATCCTGAATTGCAATGTTTGTTTTGTGTTCTGTGCGCCATTTTGAAAAAACAGACATGACCTACTTTCAATTCATTTGGACTGTTGATACTACTATAGTTGTGTTCCATTTTTCAGATTGTAGTAGATTTTAGCAATACAATCCAGTGTCTAATTGCTTTAAAAGGAAATCTGAATTCGTACAAAGGCCTACAATAAAATCCAGGTGAATTATTCATGTATTTTCTTTATGAAGAGTGGCTATTTAAATTTGTAAATGCTCAGTTGTCTTACACAAATAAATCAATTATATTCATGATATATGTCGTATTTATTCAAATCATACCACCAAGAATTGTATTTATCCAATTGCATAATAATAAAAACTTGACTTTTATTATTCTATTTCTTCAGGCCAAGAACATGGAAAATTGGTAATTGCCTTGTATCACTGCAAACTATAAGCCACAGGGAATCTTGAACGGAAATGATAATAAAAGGTAAGACTTTTTAAATACCTATATTAAACTTGATAGGTTAAATATTGTTCTCGGGTATGTTACTGTGTACAGACTGTACTAAACACATTTATACACTTGCTATTAGGTTATTTTGCTCACAGAGAAGCGGTTGTGTAATCACCAGAAACAGATGTAAACGTCAAATGAGCATAGCTATTTGGATAATTGCTTAATGTTGTTGTAGACTCATAATATAATGCCATCAAACTGACCATTTGGTTCAATGTGTAAATTGATGATGCATGCAATTTAAGTTTGAAAGATGAGTAAGCAATAATGGTACCTGACTAAAATTACTTTCCCTTGCATTCACATGTAGCCATACATACGAGTCTCAAGATAATTATGATTGTTAAATTATGATTTTTTCATTTCCCCCCCCCCCCACCACCCCGACTCAGTCAGTTATTTTACTTTTATTCTGCCATCTAAATAACTCTGTACCCATGACTGGTATGCCAAGTAAAAACCAAATCGAAACCCCATTTGTCGATAAGTGTATTTATAATCATCACTTTTATGTATTTCAGAGACTTGAACATCCCTGGAGATGTACATGTATTTAATAAATATACAACTGGCGGTAGTTTTTTCTTTGATGTCCATAGCAGTTATATCACATAACAACCTGTCATGACGTCATCACAGGTTGATATATTCGTTCATATCAACCGCTGATGACGTCATCACAGGTTGATATTTTATATCAACCGCTAATAACGTCATCTCAGGTCGATATATTCAGCTCATATCAACCACTGATGACATAGATGATCGAAATAAAACAAAAAACACAGAAATAAATTTTTATTCTTTTGACATTTAAAAAATGTTATGGTACAGTTTGTAACATTCCGGGCCGAAATAGATGGCGTACTTATCGGCATATTTAAATCGATTATCCATACTCCATGTCTAAGATATCTTTCAGAATTTTCTTTCCGTCCACATACTCCTAGACTTGAAATTATTCATCGCTCAAGAGTTCCTTTATAAGTATTTTAAAACAGTCGGTCAAATCCTTCTCTGAACATACCGAAAACCTTCAATCCACTGTCAGAATTCTTGGAAAAGAATGCCTTTTGGTCCAAATTTTCTGCAGGCTTTGGATAGATCCTCGTCGATATTTGCATTCACATCTATTCCATCG